CGAGCAGCCGGCCGTTGCAGCGCCGGCGTTCCTCGGGCCGAGGCGGTTGGCGGCCGCGGACCGTCATGCGCCGGCGTGCTGCGCGCCACGTGGAGCAGGGCAGCGGGTGGGCCGACAGACGGCGAGGAGCCAGCGCGATGTGAGCCGAAGGCGGACGCGGCGCGCGACGCTGCCGGGGCACCCGGCAGCTTCCGCGCCGCTGGCGGCGGCGCCGCTGGCGGCGGCGGCGGCGCCGCTGGCGGCGGCGGCGGCGGCGGCGGCGGCGGCGGCGGCGGCGGCGGCGGCGGCGGCGGCGGCGGCGCCGCTCCGCGTGCCGCGCCGCCCGCCCTTCCGACAAGCCTCCTGGCCGCGCCTCCAGTGATGCCGAAGCGCTTGAGCCCGAGCCCGTCGGAGCTCGAGCGATCTCCTCCGCCCGAGGAGCGCCCGCCGGAGCCGAAGGAGGCGCGCTCGCCCTCCGAGGCGGCGGAGGCGGCGGCGGCGGCGGCGGCAGCGGCGTCAGACTCGGAGCCAGCGCGGTCGCCATCACCGAGGCTGAGGAGGGCAATCGATGAGCACAGGCTGCTCGCGGCCTTCTGCTCCGCTTCGCCCGTGCCGGCGCGCGCTGCCTCGTCGGCAGGAGGCAGCGCAGCCGGAGCAGGGGCCTCCGCCCCGAAGCCCGAGGGCGGCAGCACCGGCAGTTCCCCCCCGCCCAGGAGCGCCCGAGTCACTGCGGACACCATGATTGGGGCGGGCGACGCGAGGTCGGAGAAGGCGGGCGACGCCGGGACTAGCCTCCCCGTGCGCTCCGCGGTGGGCTGCGGCGGAAGCTCGCGCAGCGGCTCCCTCCGCGGTGTCGCCGCCTTCTTGTGCGGCGTCGCCTTTCGACGCGGCGTATCATCCGAGGCTGGCGGCGGCGGCGGCGGCGGCGGCATCTTGGAACGCGCCTGCTCCTCGTTCTCCGTCGGCGCCTGCTCCTCCGCCTCCCTGGGAGACTCTATCTCGAGCTCAAGCGCGTCGTCGTCGAGGCTCTTGAAGTACGACAGCAGCCGGGGAGCGGCAGCCAGAGCCGGCGTCTGTGGCATGTCGAGCGGCTTTCGAGGTGACGAGGGCGCGTCCGGGCTCGGAAGCGGCGAGGCCAGCGGCGATGGCGGACGCCACGGCGCCGTCGCCGGTCTCGGCGGCGGCAGGCCCTCGGCGGCGCGCTCCGCCTTGGACTTTCTCACAAACTGCCAGGCGGCGGCAGGGCGGCGTCAGTTTGGGGAGAGTCGAGGGAGCGCGCGACTCGCGGGTGCGCGCGCCTTTCGGGCGCAGAGCGTGGGCCGGGCCGCGGGCCCTTGGAAGAGGTCCGACGTGTAGATGGAGTTCTGGCGCATGGTCGCAGTCGCGCGGCGGAGGCCGGCGGAGCAGAGGAACCGCCGAGGACCAAAGCCCCAGCAGCGGCAGCTCAAACAAACCGCGCGAAGATTTTTCTTTTTTCTTGGTTGCGCCTCACGGTGACATAACGCGCTGGTGTCCAGTCCGAGCCTGACTGTTCTTCACCTTTCTACCTACCTACCTAGGGTGAAGGGGGGGCATACCGGGTCAAGCTGAGACTGATGGTCGAGGCACCAGGGCACCAGGGGTCGTTCACTCGTTCTTCGCCCACAGCAGCAAGCAACTAACTGACAGAGCAGGCGCAACGACGCCCGCCCGACTGGGTGGCATACACAGACGGGTCGGAAGACCTAGGGAAAGCAGGCAGGGTGGGGCTATGCAGTACTCATCGGGGGCGACGCCATCGGCGATGAGGGCGCGTCGCTGACGAGCGAGGGCTACGGGCCAGTTGTCACTTCGGCGGCGCACCCGGCCTACCTCGGCGCGCGTAAGCATACTAACAACACGGCGGAAGAGCAGGCGGACATCCGCTTCCCAGCGGACGGCGGGGCTGCA